GGGAGCAGCAGGATGGTGGACAGCAAGTAGAGAAGGTAGAGGGTAAAAACGTACAGTAGACTCCCGACTTTCGCGAGTATTACGGTCCAGGGGAATTTTGCGTAAGTTGAATTCGCGTAAGTTGGGACAACTTTCCCCATAGGAAATAATAGAATAGTGAGGGGTTGCATACCCCAGACATACCTTAGTCACAGTTTTTTTTCCCCCCTTTTCTCAGCGGAATTGCCTTTAGGAGGCACGTCTCACTTATGCATCTTGAGATGCCACTACCGCAGTGGCGGCACAGCTCCTCTTGATTCCGCCTGCAAATCTTGTGAGGCGTTCACGTATATACGTGAATCTCACGAGCGTTTGCGTATATACACAAATGACACGCATCTCAAGGGGCATTTTGCAGTCCGGACCCTAATAAAAAAATTGCCTAAATGCAAGACACGCTTAAGTCGGAATTGCATAAATCAGGGGTCTACTGTACTGGGGATTCCCATGTTCCTTGTAGAGAAGGTCTGTAATAGAGGTGTGATGTAGGTTTTTGAGTGGAAGAGACTGAGGATCTGACTCTCCTCTGTCCTAGCACTGATTCCATTTTGGATCACAGGAGACTCGAGTCCTAGCATTAAAGCAGGTGATCTCTTAGGAGGATAGTGCTGTGTGCATGGGAGGTCTGGATATTATGAAACACTCAAGTGGGTTTTGTTTTCTCTCCATTCTGGGGAAGCAAACCTGACTTATTTCTTTTCATGGCACTGTAGCTGTGCATGGTGTTTTAGGTGTAAGATGAGGACCCTGCCCTGAGACTGTGATAGCCAGGCAAGTTGTTGCTCAGCATCTTCTCCAGACACTGTTTTTTTCCTCAGATTAAGTGCTGTTGAAAATGACATTCGTGTCTGTATTTACAACTTACATTTGTATTCTGCTCTGTTGTGAAATAGTGATTGTGCAAGGGAAGTAGAGGAGCACTGAGTTATTGCCTGTTCTGTGCTGCCTGACCTGTTGCAGGAAGTGCTTATCAGTTCCTCTTCAAATTTGTTCACCTTTCTCCTTCCTTTCTTTCTAGGTTATAATTCCTCCAGAATCCCCAGCCCCCTTGAGAAGAACGGTCTCTGTTCCACCCTCTCCCCCACTTCAGCGTCCTAAAGAAGCAAAGATGGTCCCTGCCAAAGCCATTCCCTCTTCTTTTCCTGTTCCACCCGCACCCCCACCCCCACCTCCACTACAGTCTTCCTACATACCATCTGCCCCAGCACCTAGTCCAGTCTCTGCCTCCTTCAGCCTGCCTCCCCAGCCTCTGTTCCAGTGGGAGACTTCTTCTGATGACTACCAAGAACTATCTGTTGTGGGCACTCCTCCTTCTGAAGATCCTAGATTGTTCCATCCTCCCCAAGCCCAGATTGTTCCTGTGAAGGCAGTAGTTTCTGTTGGGTGTCAGACTGATGCAGATCCATTCTTTCCACCAATGCAGGCATGCCTCCTTTCATTGCAACTGCTCTGCTAAGTGAAGAACACAAGTTTTTCTATTACGCCCAACCTCAACTCTTTTGAGTTAAGGGTTTAGAGTTTGGGTGAGGTATGACCCTGATTCATTCTAGAAAAGACAGCTTCAGAGATATTGATAGCTGTTTTTTCTTTCCAATGTAGACCTCTCTAACAGGGGGAGAAGTATGTGCCATGTAATGGTTTGCAGTTGTATATACAACTCCTCTACCTCCAGGCCATATACATGTGGGAAAAGGCTCTCCTTATTGAGCTGAAGGAATCTACTCCATTAGCTTAGGTCCCCATGCTCCCTTCCATAGTATGGCATTGCGGGTTTGGGGAAAAGTGTGAAGGAATCTCAGAACCAGAAAGAGAAACTGAACACCCAGTCCACATATTCCTGGAAGCCCATCTGTCTGGACCTGCTCAGTGAGGATTCAGAGGGGCTTGGGTGTGGTGCAAGGCAGTAAATAGCTGCCTTGACTGTCACATTCCTCAGGCCTAGTGGGAATGCTGCCTGAAATTTTGGGAAGTCAAAGCTCCCTGAGCAGGTCTGATTTAGTCCAGTACCAGGTGGGCTGTATGCACCAGCCAGTGCAGTATGGCTTCAATCTCTGGTTGCAAGCAGGAGGCCCTTCTGCATCACAAATTGTTGTCATACTTTGCAGGTGATTTCTACTCCACCGCTGGCTCGGCATAGCAATCCTCTTGCCACGCGACCACCCCGTGGGCCATGCCCCCTTGAGAAGGCAGGACACCCTTTCTACTTCCTGTCTCAGCATGACAAGCTTTTAAGCTGCTCTTGCCAAAGCTGTGGTTCTGGCCTGAGCAGTACTTCAAGCTGCCCCTTAGACTGAGCTCCTGTTGCTGTGAATGCTGGATTGATGTTTTTCTAGGCATGGTCTACTGTGTTATGGGGTGTGGTGCTGAATTCGAGAGCAATGCCAGACCTTGTAAATTAGGGCAGGAATATGAAGAGCTTTTGCATGAGCATTTGTATGAAGTGTGGCTGTGGTGTTCGCTGATAGGACTATTCTAATGGGGCCACGCTGATCTGTTCTCTACAAAGTGCAGACATAGTGTTGTGTGTACAGGTTGCAGAACCATTTCCAAAGGAACTGCATCCCTGGGCTAGTTAAGGATGCTGTACAACCAGTACGGGGCGTATCTGTCTGGTCCTTCATTGAGATGATCAGTGCCTGCACAGAGGTCAGCTGTTGCTTGGTGGCTCGCATGGTCCCTTGGGCAGGAATGGGAGTGCTCTGCTGCTGTCACTTTGCATTCCATTCAGTACCGTCCCCTCTCTAAGCGATGCATCTCTTCTCATTTGTCCATTTCTAGTCTGGTTCTGCGCACCCTGCACGATGGCCACAGGCCCCTGGCCAGGATGAGGAATCACGTGGTTCTCTTGATGGAGTCCCTCCTCTGTGCCCCTCCACTGCAGCATATGCGCAGCCACATGTTTGTATTGTGATTTCTTTTTTTTTTTGTTGGCTCTGTGGTGCTCTAGGGATCAGATTGTGAAAGCAGCTGTCTAGTAAAAATGTGGTCTGTGCAGAGAGACCAGAGCATAAGGTGCAAATGTAGATTAAATACATAGCTTGTCCTCAACCTGTGCTCTTTTGCTGCTGCATTATAATCTGTCCAGATGGATTGGTACCAAGTATCCACAACTCTGCTCTATGCAGCTCAGAGTCAGGGTCTCATCTGCTCTCCACTGACCACTTTTTTCATAGAGAGAAGTTCCCTCCCTGTAACTTTGGGTTTGGGGAAACTTCCATTAGTGCTGTAAATCTGTTTTCAGAGGAAAGGGTTTTGGGAGGGGAGGGGATCAGGATGGCCGAGATACAACTTTTGGCTGCAGCCTGGACATATTTTGTGATGCTGGACTGCTAGAAGTAGCTCTTCAAGGAGTGGCTGACGAGAGGAAGGGGGACTGTAGATAGGGGTATGCATTTGGTTTCATCTGGTTTCAGCTACCGCTCTCCTGGATTCCAGGACACTGGTATGAAGCAGGAGAGGCAAAATGTAGAGTGCAGATATTTGGTTTGTTGTTCTTGTCATTTTTTTTCCTATGAACAAATGGAAGCCAGTGCTGGACACTCACTGAGTAAGTGAGTCAAGGCCTAATGCCACTAGAGACAGGATGGGAAGTTTTCCCCTTTGGGGGTGGTGGAATGTGCCTCTAGCCAGCGTTGCAGAGCTCTTCTGCCTGCCTTTCCCATTGGTTCTGAGGGAGGAGCTCAGGTGTTAGATTGCTCTAGTTCTTCAGCCCTGCACATTTTCCACAGACGTGTTTGTTTTGTGATCATCTAGTTTCTCTTTTAATAAGAGATGAAACAAGTGTCCTGCATGCCCTTCAGTTTCCCTGAGAGTATAGCATAGCTGGCACTCTTAGTAAACATGACTGCTGCTATTGCCCTCCAAAGTCAGTTAATATGGCCTGCACTTTACATTCTAACAGGATGTAGAGAACTCAGAGTTCACCTTTGTAATGCTTAGAGGTTGGATGGCCTCAGTATCCAAATAGAGCCTACATTGTATATGTCTGGACACTTCCACTTCCCTTGTCCCCTCTTGCTAAAGGAAATATATCTCCACCCCTCTCCCACCCTGCCCTGGTGGAAAGTGTTTCCAAGTACTTATTGAGATTATTCCAAAAGGGGGTGTGTCAAGATCTCTCTCAGGCTGACTCTAGTCACATGCAGATCTCTTAAATGGAGAGTGCAGTGTTTCATGTCTACCACTCTCACCCTGCTGTCCTCCCCTCTCAAGAATATGCCTGGGTGCATACACATAGCAAATGTGCTGGCACATCTGCAGGAAGAGAAACAGGTGATTGGTTGAAAGCCGACCCCCTTCCTTTCCTGCTCCTCGGATAGCTCTTGACGTAGCTGAAGCATGAGGTCAGAGCTACCCAAAGGCACAGAGGGAGCAAGAAACGTGCAGAAGGAATGAGAAGAAAAGGGAGGCAATGCATCAAAAATCATGGACAAGGAGAACTGGGAGAGGGAAAGGAGATTGTAAGGGAGAGGGGAGATTAGAAACGGAGAGACAGCAACAACTGTGAGGGGGGTGGGGACACAAGGCTAGGGAACCATTTGGAGCTCGTCTCTCTCTTTGTAAGCAAGCCAGGAACCTATGAGGCAAAGGGAAAACTTCATCAGAGGCTTAAAGAGCATTGTGCTGAAGCAGCTGCTTGTGGTGTGCTGGTAATCTCTGCTTTATGGGAGGGAAAGGAAAGCCAAATCCCCACTCCTCAGGGCTCTGATGATGTAGGTCCTGGGGGCTTTGTTACATCATGCTTGTGGTCAGCAGCTCACACCCTCATTTGGGCAGAGTGCATCTCTGCACCTGATCCTGATTCTCACTGACTTCTGCAGACTTGTTAGCCTCCTCTTAGTGACTCCTGGTCTGTCCACATGCAGGGCAGCTGAAGACCAGGAAGGAGAGAGACTGCAGGACTTTTCCTGAGGAGCGCTACAGAGTTTACTTCAACATCTCTGGCTTCTTTCTGTTTACAGTTCATGGCTCAGGGGAAAGCTGGGGGTGGCTCCCCTCCATCTGCACTCCCCAAACCAGGCAGCCAGTTGGACACCATGTTGGGAAGCCTCCAGTCTGACCTGAACAAACTGGGAGTAGCGACTGTTGCCAAAGGTGTTTGTGGAGCCTGCAAGAAGCCTATTGCTGGACAGGTGCGTCAGAGAAACCATCTTATTGTTAAAATTTGGGCTACAGCTGGCTGTAGTGGGGTGGGCTGTGTCAGAGATGAAAGGGACAGAAGATGTTGGAGAAACTGAAGTACTCTTTATCCACTGGCCAGGTATGCTGTAAGCTCCTCCAGTGACCTCTGCCCCTGTCCTTGAGGGATTGACTGCCCTCTTCTGAGATGATAGGTAATTCAGTTTTCATGCTATCCTAGTCTAGGGCTCACCTGAGTGGTAGAACTTCTCATTTGTGCTGACCTCCACACACAATGTCTTGTCATGTGACCTGCCCAGGCAAAGAGGTGGAATCATCCTTCATAACTGCTCTCTCTTCCTTGCAGGTTGTCACAGCCATGGGGAAAACCTGGCACCCAGAGCACTTCGTCTGCACCCACTGCCAGGAGGAGATTGGGTCGCGGAACTTCTTTGAGCGTGATGGTCAGCCCTACTGTGAGAAGGACTATCATAACCTCTTCTCCCCTCGCTGCTACTACTGCAACGGCCCCATCCTTGATGTGAGTCTGAGCCAACTCCTGTGTCTGTGCATCAGCAGTAGGACTCTATGTGGGGCTTGCAAAGGGAGAAGTCTATTGCTGTGTTGTGGGCTTGAGGATCAAGTTACATAGGCACATCTCCACCTGTCCCTGGTAAAGCTTCTCTTGCCATCTTGGCACCCCTGCTTTTCCTGTATGCCCAGTGTTTAGAGGGAAAAAACTTGGATCCTGTTTAGCTGTCTCCAACGTCTGCATTAGGGTCCTGCAGTAAGAGGGCAGGTTGTGCTTCTCCCTGTTGTAACTCAACTTGGTTAATTTATTAGGGTGTATTCACCTTCATTCCATGATATACACCTTAGCTTTTCTCACTGGGATACAATTTAATGAGGCATGATGGTGTTTCAGACCACTGCCTAGGGCCTGGTGTCCTGCCAAGGGTAGAGGGAAGAAGTAGTATACAGTACCTTGTAAGGGCAGTTGAAGCTTTGTGGAGGGGTCTCACTTAGCCGTTTTAAGCATACGTGCTTCCTGCAGTCAGCTTTGCTGGTGGTGGTTTTCTCACTCCCTCTCCCTGCCCCCTCATTCCCCCACCCCTCAGTTGAAGCCACCGACTGACTGTTCATAATTTCTTCCAAACAGAAAGTGGTGACCGCTTTGGACAGGACTTGGCACCCAGAACACTTCTTTTGTGCACAGTGTGGAGCTTTTTTTGGACCTGAAGGTACAACTTGTGTTTGCAGAAAATCTGTTATCTTGGATGGGAGATGGGAGCAACAAAGAGTTTTGATGTAAGGGGTACTTTGCAAGTAATGGAGAAAACTAAGGGTACTGAAGTAGAGGGCTGCAATCTGGGGTGGAAGCTAGCAGCAGTCCCTGCCCCTACAAGGGGATTGGAGGACATGAAGTGTAGGCAGCAAAATAAGGGATAGCTCTGTCATCTTTGACTGGGAGCCCTAGCCATGCACTTATGCTCAGAGAGGCTGGCGGGGTGTTTGCTTGGGTGAGGGTCGAGAACTGATGCTGTTTGGCTCTGTCTTTCCCTTGTGGCCTTAACAGGATTTCATGAGAAGGATGGCAAAGCTTATTGCCGCAAGGATTACTTTGACATGTTCGCTCCTAAGTGTGGAGGCTGTGCCCGGGCCATCCTGGAAAACTATATCTCTGCCTTGAATACTCTCTGGCACCCTGAGTGCTTTGTCTGTCGGGTAAGAGAGCCCAGCCTTTTGCTGCTGTTATGTTATCCCTCTCGTTGCTAGTAGGTGGGTACTTGATCATTCTCTCTGCTGAAACGGGAGCCAGTTCCACAAGGTGCAGTGTGTCCATAACAAAGTGCTCTCTTGCTCCTCAGTCTATGTACATCAGCATTTCTCAACCTGTGGGTCATGACCCAAAAGTGGGCCACAAGAATATATGAAAGGGTTACAGAAAAACTTTTTAAAATGAATCAACAAACTTTAAAAATGGATTCTTCTTTAAAGGAGGAAAACATGGGAAACTGGCTTTTCCCTTGCAGGCTGGCAGAGTTCCCTTTCCCACCCCACACACTGACCCCCTTCCCCACAATACTGGGGGGCTGAGGCCTGGGGGCAGTGGATCAGGAATGAGGGGCACTGGGTCGGGACTGGCCATTGATGTTTACAAGTGGGTTGTGGTACTAAAAAGGTTGAAAACCACTGATCTAGATGCCTCACTTCTTTTTCTTTTTTTGTCCCTTAGTTGTAATAATAGGCTTTTGTAGCAGTTCACAGATAAACTGGCTTTTCCAGTGGCTTTCTTTAAGCACTGCCTTTCACACTTGCTCTGAAAACATACGCTAATGAGACTGACCTATGCAAACTAAAGTGCAACCCAGTGGAATAGCTGTGAAGTGTGAATATAATGCAGTATAGCATCAAAAACTGTAATGTTGCAGATTAAATACCTGGCACTTTTTTCAAAAAGCCTTGCAATATTAATTCTGCCAAGACCACTAGAAGTGGAGAGGGATTGGTCAGTATTTTGGAGAATGAAACAGAATGGCCAAGTCTAGGATGAGAAACAGAATCTGAGGCTCAGAAGCTCTGAGCAGACCACTGGTCCATTCACCTCTCTCTGCTGCAGAGCAGCCAACTATTGCCTGAATAAACTGTAAAGGACTTTGTTGATGCCACTTTAAAACTGTGTTGCTTAAAGACTCCTGCAAGTGAGGCAGTTGCCACTAGCAAACTGACCATCTAGCAATTTGCTAGTGGCAGCCAAGAAGCCCCTGAATCCAAGTTCAGGCTTTGTTTCTGCATGTGAGATCCTGTGCTCTGTGCCTCATGCTGCCATGCTGCATATGTTTAATGGGGCTGGAAATGATACCTTCCAGATCTCAAGGGAAGGAGTCTCCCCTTCTGTTGTGAAGGTCAGTTTTCAGCCCTGTTGTAAAATATGGAGGGGAGTGGCTTACTGCTCTCAGCATCTGTTTTTGGAAAGTGCTGGTCTTTGGGGCCCAGTATCCCTCAGTGCTGTGGACAGCTGGAATCCATTTAGTTTCCCATGTGCAAGGATGCATGCTTTGCTTTATGTGCATGCTGCTGGCTACCAGCATGTGTATCACACTTTGCATGTGTCTGTAACTAAGTGTGTGTGTGTGCATTTGTGACAGTCTGCTTGGGTCTGTGTCTGCCCCCCCCCCCCCCAAGAAGCGTGGCCTTGAGATTGATGCACAAAACCAGGATTCTGGAGCTCTTGTATTCTCAGCTCTGCTGCTGACTGTCATTGCGGTCTCCCCCACCCATGCTTGCTTAGTGCTGCCAACCACCATCTCCAGAAGCAGCTTCATTTTAGGGGTGAAGCAACTCTTGCATGTGGATAGCTTGGAGTTGCTTCAGCATGAAAAAGAAACTTCCATAATCACATCCGTTATTCTCTGCCAATAACTGAGCTTCCTGTTCTCACTGCAGAGCAGCCTCAGTATGATGAGGTGTGCCCTGCCTCTTACCTCCTGTAACCCTGTACACAGCAGGAAGGCCAAGCTCCCCTGCCTGTCACATGGTGGAGCTGGGCTGAGGCTTGGAGGTGGAGAACTAGCTGTGGTCACAGCTCCTTCATGGGAGGGGTTTGTTCTCTCCCCTGCCAACTCACTAGGGCTAGAAAGGCCACTGCTGGTTTCTGTGAAGTGTTTTCAGTTGCTTTGTTTTTGATCATACAGATATCTCTCTCTATATATACATACGTGTATATATAGAGAGATATATACACATAGATATAGATCAAGAATGAAGTGACTGAGAACACTTAACAAGTGTGTGTGTATAGTATAGTATTTACACCTTCCTTTTGTTACTGAAGCTAATCTGGGGGACAGGAACTGAACTGCATACAGGGTATGGCTTTATTCAACTTCCTGGCTGCTTCATCTGTCTGTCAGCTTCCAATCAGTGACCCCGTTTCTGTTGGGTATAGCTCAGCTCTTTGGCAGTATGGTGTTTGCAGCTCCCTTCCCCCACCTGTAGCATATAGATGATTCACACTTCCCACTTCTGCACTGGGCAGCTATGTGCCTGGCAGGGCACAGGCATGGACTGTGGAGCTGCCAGTATCCCTAGGTTGCCATGTCAGTCAGTGCCCTTTTGCTTCCTCCTCTTGCAGGAATGTTTCACGCCATTCATCAATGGCAGCTTCTTTGAGCACGATGGGCAGCCCTACTGTGAGGTGCATTACCACGAACGCCGTGGCTCGCTGTGCTCTGGCTGCCAGAAGCCCATCACCGGACGCTGCATCACTGCAATGGGCAAGAAATTTCACCCAGAACACTTTGTCTGTGCCTTCTGCCTCAAGCAGCTCAACAAAGGAACCTTCAAGGAACAGAACGACAAGCCGTACTGTCAGAACTGCTTCCTCAAACTCTTCTGTTAGAGCCATCATAGACGGGGACCTGAGCATCTTTCTGTCAGCCACTAGGCAGTCCAGTCTCTCTGAACATTACTGTGATTTAAAAACCTTGCTTGGGGGTGGGGGTGGGGGGGCAAGGGTATGCTCAGTGCTGCTAGACAGGCAGTAGATCCAGAGAGACAAGAAGGACCATTAAACTGGAAATAGCCTTGCTGTGTATTTCAGCAGGGAGATGCTGAGACCTGTCATGAAAGCTTGTGTGATTGTTGACAGCTGAGGTGAGCCTGAAGGCTTTGGCAAGGAGACTCCTTTCTCCAGGAGGGGGCTGGGTCAAGCTATGTGAGCACAGTCCAGCCTTGTCAGCTCTCTGACAGCCAAAATGCAACGCTTCCCAACAGTGCGTTTGTTCCTTTGGTGACATTTCCCCTCTTTCTCTCTCTCTGGGACTTTTGAATACTGTGCAACCTGAGCAATAGCTGCACAGCAAGGGCTGTGCTGTGACCTCTGTGCTGCCCTGGCAGTGCTCAGTGGAACACACAGGATCTAGGCATCTTGGAGTGTTGGCCCAGGCAGCCTTAAAGACCCTGCAGTGATGTCCCTTCTGGTCCCATAACACTGCAGGGAATTGATGCCACTTGTTTTTCTTAAAGGGGTTGCTCTATTTTCTAGTTTCTATCATTTTTCCCTCTCCTCAGCATGCTGGAGCAGGACGTGTGTGGAGAAACCCTTCCCTGCTCCCCCAGCCTTTGGCGGGAGTGTCACAGCCTGTATTCTGTGCTGTGCTGTGCTGTGCATCCTGCACTCCCCATGATTGCAGAGGGCATATGCTCCCCAAGTTTGCTGCTCCCAGAAGAAAGGAACAGGCTGGTAGCAACTAATTATTAAGAGCATGCAGAGAAGTGGGAGGGCTTGACCCTTCCACTCCCTGGTGTGAGTGTGGCTTGTGTGGTGAATTTGGCCTGAAGCTTGCTAAGTGAAAAGCCTCTCTGGTTCTTTTTTTCTTTCTTTTTTTTTTTAAAGAGGCTAGCAAAAAACAAAGAGACTTTGGAGCCTTTATTTTTCCTCTCTGCTGTTTGCTGATCAGGCCTGTCAGCCCTCCTTGATACCTTCCTTTTCCTTGCTCTGAAACTATGTTCTACTGAGAGATGCTAGAGCAATAATCTTTTATATTGACTGTTACTGGTATAACAAGTCCCTTGGGTCTGGTGTGCGTGACACACTTGGCATTTTGCTATCAACCTGAATACTGTATCCTGTCTTTGATAAGAACTGTAGGTTTCTACACTGAGGTTTGAATTCATATCTGATTTACTTTTAATCCTCTTATACAGAAATTGGTTTTGAAGTGATTTTAAGAAAGCAGCTTTTATATCTCACTGTACTATTTCAGCCAGTGCATCAGTTGTGCTGGTTTACTGTGTCTTTAACCTCAATGCTTTGTTAAAGCTGACTATTAACATTAAGTATTTTCTTTTTATTGGGAGTTGGGAGGGATCTGGAATTTGTGGGGAAGGGAATGTGACTTATTTTTTTCCAGCACAAGCCAATGATCTGTGAATAGCTTTTTTTTTTTTTTTTTTTCCCTTCATGGATCACCTGGAATGATTTTTTTTTTCGTAACCTGTAAACTGCTGTATTTGAATGACCTGCTTTTCTCCTCAAGCCTACTTTCCAGGAAGCAAATGTGAGTCTTAATTCAGTGCTGCATACTGCAGAGTGGGATAGCTCAAAGCTTCACCTTGAGAGTTTCCCTTCTCTTCAGCCATCAGCAATCAGAGTGAAGGGTGAGTCCTGCCCACATGAGGAAAGGCCAGCCTTATGGCTAAATGCATAGGACCAGGAATCAGGAGATCTGAAATCTGTTCTTGACGAGCTATATTGTTTTGGGCCTGTCGGCTAATCTCTCTGGGTTTTGATTTCCCCATCTAGAAAATGGGGACAGTGATCCCCTGTCTCATGGGGTTGTTGTGAGGCTCAATTCATATTTGCAACAGCGCTTTTACACCCACAACCTTAGATGGAGGGTGATATAGAAAGGTAAAAAGTATTACATAAAAAACGCTGCAGTGTTCTACAATAATAGCCAAAGCAGCAGAAATAAACAGAGTGTTTTGTAGCATTACTCTAGAAAGCTGGAGTGTGTTTATTATTAAGGTGTATAACATTAAGATGGTTAGTTTTGAACTTGGAAAAGGCACAGAAAGTTTTGAGATTTGACTGTGTAAGAAACAAACCCTTGTTTTAATAGAGAGGTCCTCACTTCCTATTTCAAGTAACCTTCTCTCAGTGCTTCACTATCTTGCTTGAATAACTGGGTCTGTTTCTCACTGGTTTCCCATATAAGTGAGCCTCAGTTTGTGGTTGTGAAAGCAATGGGGTTTGAGGAACAAGTGGTAGAACTAAAAGATACTCCAGCTGGGCTGAACACAGCTTTTGGAAAGTTCACAAGGCAGGACACAATAAGTAAATTGTTTTCTTTTTGAAGTTAGGTTGACTTGAAATGGGGATTTCTGAGCTTTCTTTGTGGCCATGTTGCTGAAACTGACACTTGTTCTGACCTGCCTGGGAGGGGGAATATCCTTGTGGCCAGAGCACTGGACTGGAAATCAGGAGATCAAGGTTCTGTTTCTGGCTCTGCCAGTTTTTCTGTGATGCTCTGTGTAGCCTCTCTGTGCCTCAGTTTCCCTATCTGTAAAATAGGGGTAATAATACTTAACCTACCTCACAGGGGTGTTGAGGCTCAGTTCACATTTATTTTTCTGAAGTGCTTCGAGAACCTTGGATGGAAGCTGCTACAGAAAGGGAAAGTGATGCTGCAGTATGCCATGTCAGCAAAGCAAAAAGGTTTCATACACACTTCCTTTAATAAAGGTTTAACAGTCTCCCACAAACATTATTGGCTAAGTAAAAATTTGAGAGCTTTTCCTGGGATTTAAACTGGTTTGTGCTCTTCCATATTGGGATGCTGTGTTCATGGTTATCACCAAGTGTCATTTTCCCTTAAGATATCTGCTGCCAGTAGGAGGGCCAGAAATGCCCATTTTTAGTAATAATTTCAGTGCAGTTTAGAGTGGAACATTCAAGATGCTGCATGGAGCAAACTGAAAAGATCTATGTGCTAGGATTGCCCCAGGATGATTGGCAGTATCTAGCAAGTGTACACCTGCTAGATGCTGATAGTGTTAGAGGGAGAACCAGCAAGTTGTAGTGATGTGCTGTTGCAGTTACTAGGACATGAGGGGGTGGGTTTTGGAGAGGGTAGGCAAGTATGTGCCTTTGGAAGGCTGCAAGATGATGTTGTCCAGGGCTTAAACTGAATACAGCAAGGTGTACACAGTACACATCCTCTCAGAGAAGCAAAGGATCTGCAAGTGGGAAGGGTTTTGGAGCTCCACGCTCAAGGCAAGTTAAGCTCAGACACAGCACTGTTTCTTTGGAAGGTGGGTTTTTTTGGGTTTTTTTTAGGGTTACCATAACTTTCTCTTTAAAGGCATTAGTGCTCTGTTTACAGCGATCTCCTAACCTGATGAACTCTTGCATTACAACCAGAGAGCTATCAGGATAGGCAGGTCTCAGTCAAATCATGTCCTGACTGGTTTGGGGGAATTTCCCCTCTGGGTCGACAGTTATCTGTTTTTTTTTTCCCCTTTGTAAACTTCTAACTCTGCTTTTTCCATTTAAAATTCCTGCAATTATGCTAATAAAATTTTTACCATTATTTTCACTTGAGTTTGTTTCAGTCCTTTGTAACCCTAAAGCTTGTGAAATGGTCCAGAGCACTGCTGGTGTGTAACTTCTCTTGCATTCCACAGTCCAGAAACCAAAATGACCTCTGGCAACAGCAGAGAAAATGTGTTAGAAACTGCAAACCTAACTGCTCAGCCATATAGTTAGGGTCAGTAAAAGACATTTGTGGGCTGTGCAACAAGCAGGCATGAGTTGGACACACATATTCTTCTCTTAGCGCCTTGCCTCAGTGGAATATACTGATCTTATTGTGTCCCGGCGCTATTTAATAAACTACCTGTCCATTGGTGAGAAAGTGTACTGCACAACCATTGATCCTCAGACACTGTGACCTTGCTGACTGCAACCGCAAATAATCCATATTTGAAACTCCTGGGCTGTACAGCAACGTCCTGTATGTGCATGTGTGCAACGTACATCTGTGCTTCTACTCATCCTGTCATTTCATGTGGCACCTTTGCTATATAGGGTGTCTGCAGGAGAAAAAAAATACACAAGGCCAAACAGAAAGCATAATCTTTGACTCAAGTAGCTCAGTCTAATGGGGCCTGTACAGTGCAATCATAGTCACACAAACAGCAGACAGAAAGGCCTAGCTTTGGGACTGGGACCTTCACGAGATATGAAGCAAATAAAAACAGGGCCTTGAATATGACCCTGCACACAATAGTATGCACAAATAATTCAGAGAACTTGAGCTCACGGGAAAGCTGTTTTTAATAAAGAATAAATCTCCACCCCCTCTTATGGAGGCTTGAGTTAACTCCCAGTTTGCCCTAAGAGGAACTGGTTTAATCACTTCTCCAGATCTCTGAGTCGAGGATATGAAGAAAATGAAGTGGCCTTTATAGATCTGCAACCTGAGCTAAGTTATTAAAATTCCCAAGTCGGAATCACAGTGTACCAGCAGCTTCTGGGTGGCAGGCAATAGCCCAGACACAATAATGCCTACGATTAAAATGCTCCCAAGTTGGTTAATCCTTGACTGTTGACACAGTGTGCATTATATGTAGGAAATCCAAAGGTTTTCTATAAGTGTTTAAAGTCCATGAGTTACAGCTTACAACTACATGGAAGGCAGAGTGCAGTTTTTTGAGTACCAGTACGTGACCCTGTTCATACGCTATTTTCTCATTAAATATGTTGCTTAATATACTGCTGTTTTGGTTTAGCATAGCCTCAGACCACAAACCACGCAGCTTGTTCCTATTGGCATGTGTGTCTGGACTCTAGGCTGTGAAATAAGAAGGTTTCTTCTTTTTTTTAATGTACAAAAAAAGCCAGCTTCTCCATTTATTTATTTATTTGCACTAGCTATTTCCTCCTGGCCTAGGATTCTAGGTGGAGAGATTATTTCACTGTTGTATTTAATATAGAGGGTTGCAAACTCCATCATACAAGCAGTCTGAGTAGGAGCAACCTTTTTGGTCAGAGAGAAATTTGCATTGTTTAGTCTTCTATTTTCCATTTGTTTCTTGGCTTCCCTGATGCCACTGCCCATGGGAGAAGCACTACAGCTGTCATGAGGTGAATGTTGTGACATGAATACCTGCTGCCTGTGGGTACTTGATTAAAACTCACCAGTTCTTCTCACAGGCACAAAACAAAAGATTACTATAGACTTTCAGTGATCTACCATAAATCACAAATAGTTTTTAGTAACACTTTCTTCTTTTCTGACTGTGTTCCCACTTCCAAGTACAGTGTTCCCTTCATCCTATCAAGGGTGAGCTATGCAGCTCCCTGCTCTGGGTCCTGTAGAGGTACTGACTCCTGCAGAAGTAACTTGAGTCCTGAGTACTGACCCTTGGTGGAACCACCCAAGCTGAAGAACTGGGCTGTCCTTGTCTACTTTTATGTTGCTGCCTGAGTGAGGGCTGCGAAGAAAAGGGGTGTTAGCATCAGCTGGGCCTTCCACAAAGGCAGGAAGCTCCAAGCTACCCTCCAGTTTTTGCTGAAAGCTAACTGTACTGAGAATGGCATGAGATGAACTTTTCACTAGTATCCGACCATCTTCTCTGAGCCCGTTTGCAGGAAGCATCTGAATGAATCTTTTCAAGGCATACGTAATATGGTGGATATTGTAGGATAACTCCAGGGATGTTCCTTTTCTCATAGACTACCTGGTAGGTGGGTTATGGCTTCCTGTACATAGTGCAGAGTCTATGGAAGGGGCATGGCTAGCTGGGCTGCAGTACTACCTGTAAGGAGGTTGGGAGTTGGAGTGAATTAGAAACAGTATGAATCAAGAGCGTAACATTGTTACAAAAGCTGCCAACAGCATACTAGGTAATCTTAACTGGAGTATCATTCTTCCACTCTTCAGCATTGGTGAGGTCTCACTTGCCAAGTACTGTGTCCAGTTTTGGGCACCACATTTTAAGAAAGATATGGACGAATTGGACAGAGTTCAGAGGAGAACAACAGAAATGATTAGAGGTCTGTAGCATAAGGAAAGCTTGGAAGAATTGGGATTATTTAGTTCAGAGAAGACTGAGGAGGAATTTCAAATATGAAAAGAACTGTTAAGCACAAATGTGCTTAAATTGCAGCAGAGGGGATAAAGGAAGAACTTTCTAACTGACTCTGCTCAAGCCCTGGATGGAGCAGGTGGCCCAGGGAGAACCTCCGTCATTGGTGCAGGTTAGACAGATGTTTTTTGTGGGATGGTTCAGATGGGAATGAATGACCTTTCCTTGGGCTCTTGAAGCCGCTAGGAGCACAACTTTTGTATGATTCTGTGGAGGTCAGTGAACAGGGATCCCAGAGAACACCCTCAGATTTGTAGTGGGAGGAGTGTGGTGAACACCCTTTCACCCACAACCTGTCCCAGTGACGGCTGTCTCCTGAGAGGATCGCAAGCCCAGTGCCCCCTTTCCTTGTGATAAGGGGGAGGAGGGGAGGGAGCCTGGAGCTTTGGGGAAAGCCTGGTCTCATCACTCCCTCTAGAGTCCATTGACAGAACTGCTGAGTTGGACAAAAGCATTAGGAGAACAGTTTGAAGTGTCTTCCTCTTTCCCTTGGAGCTACTAACCCCTCCCTGGGCTGGGTCTCGTGGCATAATCCTCACTTTGATTCTCACACAGCGTTTAGAAAGAGGTACGTGTATGGCAAGGGGGAGACTTGTGTAACTAACAGATCCTATAGAAAGCATTTTTGAAGTCACAGGGTCTGATTTCTGAGATTGAGCTTCAGGATTGAAACATACTTTAGCTGCTGGAGATGAATATGCATGGTTCGCTGTGTGCCTTCTGCATGGCCCATTAGGAAGTAATGAGCCATCTCCTGTGCAGACATGTAAGAACTTTGACTTTCTCGTAAGATTTATGATTTGTTTCAGTTGCTTTGGCCAAGATATATGCCCTTCCCTCTTTTTCCCTACGAGGAACTCATCGGCACTGCTTATAATGATGCCATGACTTTATTACACTGAAGTACTATAGAATCCTCTGGGCTGAAAGAAGCCTAAGGCCTTGTCTACATGGAAAATTTCAACAGTGCATTGTAAATGAGTTTTTAAAATCAGTACATGCCCCTGCCCTTGTGCTTCTTGGGGTTAAGAGCAGCATATTTGGGTTTGGATTAAACCCCTTCCTTATTGATCTGAAGCTAAACCTGAGCAGCCAGTCAGCCTTTGGCACAGGGTTAAAGATGCCATCTCTAGGTAAACTTACACAACTCTCTGGTGCAAATGAGCCCTTTTAGAATGGGAAATGTCAAGGGCTCCCTGTAAAATTGGCTCTATTGCCTGGTGCTTGTGACCAAATGGAGTCTCGGTCCAGCTTTGGGAGGCTGATTGGAACCACCAGGAACACCCCCTCGAAGAGAAACAGCAAATAAAAACTCTGCATTCCTGGCTGAGCTGCTCTTTTGTTGAAGCATATAATGGGTTTATTTTCTAATCAAGCCAGGCTGCAACAAACCAGAGAGAGTACTGTACCACGAAGAGTTCCTCTACTGAACCAACATTCATCTGATCAAAGCATTAGATCTGTCTCAGTTGTTGGGTTTAATAGAGTAAGAACAACAGAGCACTGAGGAAGGATCACTATCCTCCTGCTATGCAGGATGTCTTTGCCTCCCTACATCTACCTCCTACAAATCATAAAGGTCTTCTCTGCCTTAACATGTGTGTTGCAGCAGGGGCCTTTTATCCTGTGGGTAGGTTCTAGTGCAGCGGTTCCCAAACTCTGACAGATTGCACACCAATTTAAAATGATACAAACCTAAGTACCACAAGCAAATTTTTGTCATATAAAGGAATTATAATGAATGTTAACTTGTACCACTGACAGGTTGTCTGCATACCACTGGTGGTACCTGTACCACAGATTGGGAACCACTGTTCTTAAATAGTTGGTTTCCATGTAGAAGGCTGGACAGTGGAGAGCCAGAAGCACCTGGAAAGTTACTGTCCTACTGCAAGGCTTGGATCCTTGGGTGTGTGAGCTCAGCTCCTGGCTTTGCCCCTGATTTGTGGTTTGGCCTTGAACAAGTTTATTCACATGGTCACAATCGTGGGTCTAATTCTGGTCTCATGCTAGACTTACGCCAACATTAATTATTCACAGCATGGCAGTAGAGCATCTTCTGGATTATGCTAGTGTAAAGAGAGATCGGGATCAGACCCCATTGGAAAATCAAAGCACTACATACATTTCTGGTACAGTCATGTATGCACAGGAATAAACATTGGGATTCTCCCTGGCAGGCACGCTGTGTGCAATAACTGGGATCTACGTTGTTTGTCAGAATGCAAGTCATTTTGCAGCTATGCTGAGCCTCATCATTGGAAGAAGAGTCTTGGTCTTAAAACAGTCTGATCACAAACAATTCTCAGGTTCCTGCTGGGTGGTGGCCGTCCAGCCATTGCGGCTTGGTCTCTCACCACTCTGCCCATTTCCGTGCAGATCACCCTATTGCTTTCTAAAGAATCATTCCTTCCTCTCAGACCACAGGTGGTTCCTGGCAAGAGGA